CGGGCTTCTTCTTCTTCTTTATTTTTTGCTATGTATGTCTCTGATAAGATTGCCATTTCTTGATAAAAAAAATTCCACGCATACATATTCGATTTTGTGCAAGAGTTGAAATGTTTGTCTAACTAGACTAACTTTGATAAATAAATTGAAATGAAATACCCCGTAATCTTTATTTGTTCTTTTTTTCTTTGAAGCTTGCATAGCTACATGTAAGTACTCTACTTGATGATGATTCCTGGTTTAGACAACAGAATAAGACTTTTGAACACATTGACATGAGAAGAAACACTTTTCAAAATTAGTAAATTTTGGGGAAAATTCAGAATGAAGCAAGGAAATTCTCACCATTTGCAGATTCCTGTTGTTGTAAATTAAAACGTTCTAACTTAGAACTAGATGTGGGAGATGTTTACGGGAGGGGAATCGGACACATTCCGCGGTCACCTTCGACTGCTTTGTGTTTGTCGACAAACATCAACTTTATATCTTGTCCAGTCAAGATAAGCTATCACATTTGTTGCGATAGCTATCTTGACATAAGGAGATAACTTATCTTGCATCATGAATAAAATCATAGATATGCATCATGAATAACATCATAGATATATGCCACCATAGTTTGATACTGTTGTGCCATATTCAACATGTAATAAATACTACTAAATGCAACAGTGAAATATGAAAGCCATGGTGGTATATCTCTGTCCCCTACATGCACGATAAATTATGCATGTTATTTATTTATGCAAAATTTATTAAAATATTTATTCAAAAACATGCAAGAAAACTACAGGGGTAGAGGCCAACTTTTTTCAATGCCAACTTCTTTCAGTACCAATTTTTTTCGTATTCAATACTACATTTCCCTTATATCAATTTCCTGTTGTGTAAAGTGGGGGAGGGGGGGGGGAACCAGCCTTTCACTGAACATTTCCAATAGTAAAAGTAATGTTGGCAAGAAAGGGGGCAGCCCCCCTCCCCCAGGCCCCCGGCTTCTACGTGCCTGTTTAAGTAAATTGTGTGTGCAGTATTTTTTTATTACTATAAGTACATTGTATGTAATAAATAAAAAATACCCCATTTCAGTCACATCACATCCTGCATGTATCATCACGAGACCTTTATCAGACGCATTGCCTTCGGTCCACTGGCTGATATTGGTGTCTCGGGCTGATACATGTACAGATTGATATAATACAGGATATACATGTTATACATTTATTGACTGAGTTTGAGGGCAACATGCGTTTTGTCGGACCCAAGAACTAAACTGTCTGCCTGAGGCCTAACGGCCTCAGGCAGACAGTTTGGTTCGAGGGTCCAGAAAACGCATTTTGCCCGAGAACATAGTCAATAAATGTTTTGTTATACCTTTCATTTTAATTTTTTGACATATGACATGTATTTTATCCTGTCTTCCGTCACTGTTGAACACCAACAAATGAAAATGAGATTAAGCTCCGCCCATTCTGTGACGTACGTACGCGGTTCAACATCTCACTCAGCGGTCAAACATTGATTTTTTTTATGCCCGCTCTGCAAAACATAGGAAATGTTAGACTTTTTTTCGTGTAGATTTGTATAGGAATAATTTTTTAAAGGTATAACAAATATATATATTATTCCGACCATATATACATTGCTTCTTTTGGCACTTATATGACTTCGGCTACGTATTGTGCATACATGTATATTCATAACTCATCCCAATCAATACAGTACTGTACATATATGCATAGAATTTTTAAGGTTTTCCCATTTTCCCATGTAGTATAATCTGGCCAAGAATTCTATATTTTATACGGATATGCATCGTACGATTATGAGAAAATGAACTCGCTAAGAGATAGCTAATTAAATTTCTTCTGAATTGCTGCCCAAGCATTACTTCTAAAGTCTCAGTCTGTAAAGTTAAGGGGTATGTATTGAATATGTACAATTTTCCCCTAATATACTAGTATTTGCTTATAGTCACTGTCCTAAACTAGTTAATAAATAAACAGGTTAACCACCTGGAATTCGAAATTAATCATCAGGCACATTCATGAAAATGGGATGTTATCGAGAAAGACGATACAGATTTAATAACAATTAATAGAAGCCGAAATAAATAATTTTGCATGTCAACAGTAAATATCACTATTGTTAGATATTTTTCTCTTTAATGAATGTGATTTACTTTTTCATTTATGATATAAAGTTTCAAATGGATTCCTCAAGCCAAAATGTGTTGTTAACTAAATTATGGTGTAAATATATATGCATGTATGGATGCATGAGTGAGATACAAGATAATAATGGGCAGAAGGAGCCGCTATTAAATAAAGATCAATAAGTTATTTTTCTTTTCTTTGAGTTAAAAATTAAACACAAACTAACAATACAAGATAAAGATATTTATTTTATTGCAAGACAAATCTATAAGCAAACAAGACATTTCCTGAGTTGCAGAAAAAAAGAGATGAGAACGTTTATGCACATGTACACGGATGTCTATCATGAAATATTGAAAATGCAGAAATTTTAGAACCTAGCTAAACTCTACAGTCATTTACAGCGTTTAGCCTGTGAGGGACTGAGCTGGAACACCATTTACAATATAAGGAGCAGCGCAAGTTTTGCTGATTTCGTTCCAGATCAAATTTGTTGGACAGTCCACAACATTAGCTTGACCCCATAGATCACACTGGATGAATTTACTCTTGTCTCCCGGATATGGGTGAAACAGATCGTCGGTAGTGGTAATAGTGGATCCTTTCGGAGCACAAATAGTGGTGAGATCAACGGTACCACCAGTTCCGGTACCAGTTCCGGTTCCGGTTCCAGTCCCACTTCCGGTTCCGGCTGGGTTTGGGACGACATTATCGGTTCCGATGTCGTAAACACAAGAGAGACGGCTCTGTTCCCAAACAAGGCCGGAAGGACAGTTTAGAATATTGGCATTTCCTAAGAGATCACATTCGATGAATCGGTACTTGTCGAAGGCGTAGGCAAAGTAGATGTTACCGGAGTTAATGTTTCTTACGGTGCAAGGGTTTTGGGAGGGTTTGTCGGTGACTACTGGGACAGGGGCTTTAGTTGTGGTAGGGGCAGGCATCACGGTAGGAAGAGTCCCCCCGCTAACGGATGTACAGGATGAGGTGCTAGCCTTGTAGGTTAAACCTTGTGGACACTGAATGATGTACATACGGCCCAGGAGGTCGCACTGGATGAATTTGGTGGCGTCACTTGGGTGGGGATAATAGATTCTGCCCTGAACATTGTTAACACAGGGGTTTGGCACGTTGGTGAATGGATCTGGAAAATGGAAACATAAATGTTAACGTAATTTTTTAGATTTGTTATACAATTAAGACAGTTCAAACAGTAGAGCAATGGACAACCGTAAAGTTACATTAAACCAGAATGAAAACAATCAAGCATCTACGCGTACCATGACTTCAATGTCCAACCTTATCTGCTAATTTGAAAAATTCAGGGTGTACATGCAAAAGTCTGCTTTCAATTTCTTGTTTTCAGTTTAATACAATATAAAATTCAATAGATGCATACATATATTAAAGCTGGGTTTATTTATGCAATCGGCATAAAAGATACTGGAAAAAGTACCATAATAATTCCAAAAACCAAATGTTTTCAAATTGTTTTATTTTAAAGATAATATGTAAACTGTATAATTCTTATTATAATATTTGAAAATATCTTGTGAATTTTGAATTTGAATAAATTACTAAAAGGATTTTATTGTACCTTCAAGGTCGTTTGTAAATAATGAAATTAAATGTATGCTCACCGGGGCATCCAGCTTGTCTTTTCACTGAAAAGAAAAAAAAACCAATTAGTCTCCTGGGTGCAATAATTTTCCTGTCAATTAGAATTAAACATTCATATAGTTTGAAATAGGGAATATATTTTCGAAGCGTATCTTGAATCCTATAAATGTTTAAAAGGATGATGTAATCCTGAATTGTATACAAAAATTCATCTCATAAATATCCTAATAACAAAACAGAATTTCAAACAAACACCACCAACACCCCAAAAAAAGAGAGAAAGAAAATATGAACTTGTCAAAACCACAATTAATACATATTTCACTGGGGTATTGCACACTCCCAACTTTAAGAATATAGATACGTATCTTGAAACACAAAGGAGTTCGAGGTAAAAATTTGATTTCATATAAATATAGAACTAACAGTCATTTTTTTTCCTATACAAAAGTACTTTCCATTGGTTGGGAAGCATCGCCTACAGTACGCCCCCTTCAATTTTCTTTGCATTACTAAATGTAGTATTCGATTTAAAAGTTAAAACGCAAAGATTTCGTTTTTCCTAGAATTTCTATTTCAGGCTACAGTACTCACCTAGAGAACCAGCCGACGCAAGCCCGAGACAAACAGCAACAATAGTTAAGGAGGGAAACATCTTGCTTGCTCTACAACCCGAAATGCGAATTATTCCAAAAGAACATAAGACATATATAGCAGAAAAGAGGGGGTACAGAGGGGGGAATGAACAGTCAAAAATTAGCATCGAACAAAAAATTCAGCCATCAAAATTTTGACACCAAAACCATCTTTGGATTATTTTTCGAATCTTTTGAAAATTAATTGCGATGACTTGAATAAAAAGTTGAGTTGGCAGAATCTTCACACTTTTAGTGCCTCTTGAAATATGAAATTCAGTACTTTGGGCGGTTATCATGAAACTAACGGTGGTTCTGTTTGCCCTAATCCCATCGGATATCTGTATTTGTCAAATGGGCAATGCTGGGTGATAGGATCGCTCTGCGAGCCAGCGTCTCCCTGGGCGCCTGTTTACCTTTTAGTTGTTAATGTTTACAGAAATCAAGAAGTCACAAACAGCTTTCCACAACAACCTTACATAATTGTAACACAAAGATTTACTTTAATTACCAGATAAAGGTTCAAACGGTTGACAATAATGGTATTGTTATAAACGCCAACGGGTGGGGTTGGGGATTCTGACTTTGCTTGAAATCTGTTTGCCATAATAATATGTAGATCTGTGAAGTTTGAACAGTTTTTTAAAAAAAGAGTTTCACTTTTTTCAAGGTATAATAAATTCATATCAAGGTTTTTGAATTTCATTCAGATTGATCGAGCAATTTTATATGTTGGGTTAACGAGTTTTTTCGCTAAATACTGAGATTCAAAGACATAGCTCGGTGTAATTATGAAGACGAAACGGATCATTGAGAAAAAAAAATATAGAATCACTATATCGCTTACATCAAGACACTGTAGTATCGGAAAAAAGATAAAGAAGCGAGACAAAATTATGTTTGAAAAAAAAGCAAAAACAAGTACAAATAGAAAGAACAAAGAGCAAACAAGTAAAACAAAACATAACAAAAATACTAGTACACAACAAAAAATCAAACAAACAACAACAAACAAACAAAAAAAAGTACGACAAGAAAATTCACAAAACATATCAAAAATGATCATTTCCGATTATATCATTATTTTTCCAAATAAATGGGTATTCGCTTCATTTTTTAAAATAATTATTCCTTAAATAGGCAAAAACAATAAGTAGTTTCAATTTTTGAAAACAAAAGACTTACATTGCCTTAAAAAACACTATTGTGTATGAGAAAACATTTTTGATCGAGAATTTTTAAAAAATTTATTCGGGTCAATGACTATAGTCATGACTTTGCTTAGTTTCTTGAAAACAAACTTCTGAATACTAGTATTCTCTTAATTGTGTCATTATTCCTATATAAATCTTTGATCTCTATAATTGTGGCTCTACCCTCACCACCACATGGTCATATATTTGAAGAAATTCGATTTTTGTTACCCCAGAAAAACAATTTTTAAAGAGTTTTCCCTGTTCACACATTAAACGTTGATCTCCAATAGTTGTTAGACAAGCAAAATAAGCAAACGGGGTCACCAAATAAAATAAAATGTCTTCTGCCTCAGCCCTAGAGATTCTAAGCTGAAGATATTATTGGTGACCCCTTTGCGTATTTGACTAAATTTAAAGAAATTGAAAAGTAGAGGTACTCTGAGCACTGAGCTTACTAAATGACACTCCCACCCCTGCCTACCATATGGTTATAATATTATAATAAGTCCATGTTGTGCACTGGGAGACCCAAAATACGTGTCAGATCAAAAAGTGAACTAGTGCTAAGACGCTCCCCAACTCCTCTTTGGTGCCATATTCCCTGTAAGCTTCATTAAATAAGACAAACTCTGTGCATTTTTTACTTTAACAACGTTTTCTCAGAAGAATACCGATTATATTCAAATTTTAGCATTTTGTGAATGCATGTGCGTTATGATCATATCATCTTGTCTACGCTATCTACATATCTTAATATACAATATATTAAAGCATTCAGTCCAAAAGTATGAAAAATCACTCTTTCAAACGTATTTTTCATTTCACTCGTTCCATATGCACGTACGTGCGTACACGTGCATGATGACCATACCTTCTTGTAGGAGTCCCTTATATCTATCTATTTTCTAAATCCCATCGTGTTTTGTTGACAAACAAGGGAGTTATAGCCATTTCAAGTTTAGGCCAATCAGATTGCAGCACACGTGCATGCGCGTGATTTCATGGTTTTTTTTTCTACATCATATTGTAGTATATCCTAATGCATGACAATGTTTTAAATTTCAAAGCATTTCGTCAAAAAACAAAGGAGATATAGCCATTTAAAGTTTCAGCCAATCAGATTGCAGCACGCGGGCATGCGCATGCTTTCATGAGAATTCTTATATATCACGCTATAGATCTTCATAATGTAGGTCTATGTTAAAAATTTCAAAGGATTATGACAAGAAACAAGAAAGATATTGAGATTTTAGTTTCAGCCAATCAGAGCGAAGCGCACGTGCATGCACGTGAGATCTTACTTTTTTGACCATGTCATTTTGTCTTTCCTTCTAATATATACTTATAATATGAATTTCAAAGCATTTCATCAATAATTTAAATAGTTATGTCTGTATCAATTATATTGGACATTTATCGTGTTGCACGTGCGAGCTCTTGCAAGCACATGTGCATGCACATGCTTTCATGATAAATCTTATATTACAGGCTGTAGACACTAATGTATGACTATGTTCGAAATTTCAAATGATTTTATCAAAAAACCTTTAGTTTCAGCCAATCAAAGCGAAGCGCACGTGCATGCGCATGCGATCTTGCTATTTTGACCATGTCATCTTGTGCATACTACTAATATATCCTTACATTATAAGTTTCAAAATATTTCGTCACAAAATAGAAAAGTTGCGGTTATATCCATTATATATTGGTCATTTTAAGTTTTTGTGCAAGCACGTGCGCGCAAAATGACCTTGATTCCGCAAATCTACATAACATGCCTACCTACCCTAAAAAGGTTTCACCTAAGTCGGATGTGTAGTTTACAAGATCAAAAAGATTTTCCCAGGAAGAAAAATAATAATAATAATAATAATAATAATAATAATAAGAAACAGAGTAAAAACATATGTTCCCCAACTTCGTTTGGGGAACATAACTAGGAGGCTCACAATGGCATAATGTAAGAATCTGTGAAAGTATCATAAACTTTTATTCAGAGGTATAGGAGGGGTTATGGCTAAAAGATGGATTCCTTTCAATATTATAAAAAATAGCCGTGTCCATGTTTTTGCTCTGGGAATCCCAAAATATGTGTCCGCTCAAAAAAAAAAGAAAAATAAGAGGTGCACAATGTAACATATATTCCGTGAAAGTCTCATAAAATTTCATTCAGAGTTGCGGATAAGAGATAGGTACATGTACCCCAAAGTGTAACAGACGGGCGGACATTCCGATCACTATATACCCTTCCTCTTTTCAAGCAAGGGGTATAATTCTAATGAAGATATTTAAAATTATTGAAATGTATTTAAAGGAACGACCTTATATATCAAGTATAAGATACTAGTAGATAACTTTTAATAAAACGTCGGTCCGTGGTCGTTTATGTACACCTGTAAAATTAGATGATCAGCACTAAAAATGCGTTAAGGAAATTCAATTCTTTTGTCAAAATAATCTGACATTTAAACAAGAGGCCCATGGGCCACATCGCTCACCTGAGTACTGTGGCTTGGAAAAGGTAGAAAATTGGTTTATTATTGAAAAGTTTTAATCCAAAAGAAGTCCCATGACCATGCAATCATGGCTTTACTATTCTTGAGAAGATGATTTTTAAAGAATTTTTCTATATATTTCTATGTAAAACTTTGGTCGGCCATTGTGGCCCCGCCCTACCCCCGGGGGTCATGATTTGAATAAACTTGAATCTACACTACCTGAGGATGCTTCCATATAAATATGACCAATCATGGCTTTGTATTTCTTTAGAAGAAGATTATTCAAGAATTTTGCTATATATTTCTATGTAAAACTTTGGTCGGCCATTGTGGCCCCCGCCCTACCCTCGGGGGTCATGATTTGAACAAACTTGAATCTACACTACCTGGGGATGCTTCCATATAAATATGATGAATTATGGCTTTGCTATTCTTGAGAAGAAGATTTTTAAAGAATTTTCCCATATATTTCTATGTAAAACTTTGGTCGGCCATTTTGGCCCCGCCCTACCCCCAGGGGTCATGATTTGAACAAACTTGAATCTACACTACCTAGGGATGTTTCCATATAAATATGACCAAACATGGCTTTGTTATTCTAGAGAAGAAGATTTTTAAAGAATTTTCCTATATATTTCTATGTAAAACTTTGGTTGGCCATTGTAGCCCCGCCCTACCCCCGGGGGTCATGATTTGAACAAACTTGAATCTACACTATCTGAGGATGCTTCCATATAAATATGACCAATCATGGCTTTGTTATTCTTGAGAAGAAGATTTTTTAAGAATTTTCCTATATATTTCTATGTAAAACTTTGGTCGGCCATTGTGGCCCCAGCCTTACCCCCGGGGGTCAAGATTTGAACAAACTTGAATCTACACTACCTGAGGATAATTCCACATGAGTTTCATCTTTCCTAGCCCAGTGGTTATTGAGAAGAAGATTTTTAAAGATTTTTCCTATATATTCCTATTTAAAACTTTGATCAGCCATTTTGGCCCCGCCCTACCCCCAGGGGTCATGATTTGAACAAACTTGAATCTACACTACCTAGGGATGTTTCCATATAAATATGACCAAACATGGCTTTGCTATTCTAGAGAAGAAGATTTTTAAAGAATTTTCCTATATATTTCTATGTAAAACTTTGGTTGGCCATTGTGGCCCCGCCCTACCCCCGGGGGTCATGATTTGAACAAACATGAATCTACACTATCTGAGGATGCTTCCATATAAATATGACCAATCATGGCTTTGTTATTCTTGAGAAGAAGATTTTTAAAGAATTTTCTTATATATTTCTATCAATTCTATGTAAAACTTTGGTCGGCCATTGTGGCCCCAGCCTTACCCCCGGGGGTCATTA